GCACTCTAGCCCAGGCAACAGAGCCATACTCTGTATCAAAAAAAAAAAAAGAGGATTCAAAGGAATTTTGAGATCACAGTGTGGTAATATATAGTCTGAAACAGTATGAAATTATCATAAGGTGGCATTAGTTAATATGTAGGTTAATTACTTATGTATTACCCAGTAGGTAGGTAATAGTCTACATATTTGACTAGAAAAAACATAAAAAGATTAATATTGCAGAGTTTGACAAGAGAATGAGGAAATGGACTCTCAAACATTTGGTGGGAATGTACAATACAACCTTTTTTATGGTCAGTCCTACATCTGTTAACATTAAAAATGCATTCATCCAGCAATTTCATTTCTAGGCATTTATCTCATAGATAATTCATTTTATAGTAGTCTTCAGAGCTTAAAACATTACCCATCACCAATCCTTTTGTTTCATCAGTGAAAACAGATGCCTTGAGCTCTTTCTTCTGAGTAAAATAAAGTCTGAGTTATTCATTCTGTTTAATTCTGAGTTCTTTATTTCAGAAATTAATTCAATTAGAATTAAATAATCAAATGAAAAATGTTAACTCCATAAGGAGCAGATTTAAATGGACTTCTGAATTATCTTCTTAAAACTTATAGTAACAATAGTAAAAATAAGAGGAAGATGACAGGGAAAAATAGTTCAAAAGAAGAAAAACTAGCTAACCCTGTTGATTTGGGTGTTACAGGTTGCAAAGTTAAATGATGCTGAAAGGGAACTCTCTGAAATTTCTGAGAGGCTAAAAGCCTCAAGCAAAGGTAAGTCATTCATCAAATATTTATTGATATATTAATACCATATATAGTGCACTATGCTAGCTAGGTACTGGGGCTACACTGGTTAGTAAGATATGTCATAAATAATTTGGTTTAACCTCTTTATTTAATAGTTGAGGGGAATGACGCCCATCAAGATAAAATGGCTTCCCAATGTGTCACAGCTATAATCTGTTTCCTTATTCCTAATATCAGTGATGTCTTCTGTACAGCTTTTGTTAGTGATTTTTCTATGGAACCTTTGGCTGATTTTAAAAATATCTGAGGCCATCTTTTCTAAACATGTGTTATCCCTTTCTTGGACAGCTCTATCAGATTCACCATCTCAGGATTCTTTAGATGCATTCATGTCGGAAATGAAATCAGGGAGTGCATTAGATGGTGTGTCCCGAAAGAAACTTCACCTGAGAACTTTTGAACTGAGGAAAGAACAACAGAGACTTAAAGGGTTAATAAAAATTGTAAAGCCAGCAGAGATTCCAGAACTAAAAAAGTAAGTAAGTCTTAGTTATGTTTGGAATTTTGAATAAGCATGGTAGCATAGATAACATTTTGAATTATCCCTTTATCTTCTTAGGTAATCATTATATAGTAGGAATATACAAGGAACCCTTTAAAGCACAGAAAGCAGTGGTTTCATAGAGTAAAAACCTGTTTCATTTGTCAAATATAGACTGCTAGAAAAATTTTAGAGAAAACTATATTGATTTCTGTTTCATTAGAAGGCTCTGAAGGGTTTTACTTAAGTCTTTTAGTGCAGAATAAGCTTCTTTAAAAGCAACAAGCACAAAAGACTGATTTCTTTAATAAAGAAAGACGTATGAATGATAAGTAGACAGCCAATCACCTAAGAGAAAAATGAGCAAATGATGTCAACTGACAGGCCACAGAAAAAGAAATGCAAATATCTCTTAACTATATAAAAAGAATGCTCAACTTCGCTCATAAGAGAAATACAAATACTACAATGTAACACCATTATTTATTTGTGGATTTAATGAAGGTTCATTAAGTATGATAATACACTGCTGATGAAGCTATGAAGAAAAGGCACTTATATTGTTCATTGAAGATCAAATTAGTGTATTCTCT